TGGCCAGATGCAACGGAACATCTGGAGGGTCCTGGGGAGCGTAAGTGCTTGGGGGGAAATAATGACATGACAGTGGCATGTATGAGCTGACTGCCAAATCTGAGGCTGAATCAGCTTTTTTCAACCAAGCCTGTTTCTGTTTGTTCCAGAGATTGGCATCAGGAGCCCGGAAAAGGTAACACTGGAGAGATCATCACTGGGTTCCCTCTTGATTGTACCATACAATGAGGCACTCACATGTCCAGAGGCACCAATAATACCCAATGCTGAGACGAAGCAGCCAGCAAACATTTACCACCAACCAATGGTACTGGGGGAGAGGATTCTTGGACTGATGATGACATTTGTATCAAGAAACTGAGCAGATCACACGCTGCAATACAAGCTTCCAGAGCTGATGGCAACAGGATACTGTCTTGCTGGTGAGTCAGTCCGGATGTCACTGCTGAACAGACAGCGTTGCTTCAGGGTCAAGTCTCAAGGGGGTTGGGGCCAGCACTGGATTTGATGGTCACACCTGAGTAGATGATTGTTTCAGTGTTGAGCGCACTGTACTATCTTTCTCAGCATGCTTGCTGGAACACTGGTGCCACAGACACTGATCTGGAAGCAAAATCAGTAGAAGCTCTCTTCCTCAGTACTGGGCAGGGTGATGGGAGTTCAGATTCTGCAGAACAGGAGACGTGTTGTTCCTGCCTGAAGAAGATGTGCTTAGTACCAGCTCAAAATGGGGAAGTTCTATGGGTAGGTACAGGGCTGCCTTCCTTAGAAGACACTGAAGTCCTGACCTCCATGTCTGTCTTAGTTCTTGGTTTAATTCTCTGCAGATTTAGCAGCGGTACTTGACATAAGTCTTTCCAAGCCAGTTCAGGCTAGTGGAATGCAGGTTGCTCACTGATACCAGTTTCTTGCAGGACTCACAGGGTTCAAAGTCTGGTGAGCCAGATATGTCCTGGTACCAAAGCCAATACCTAACAAAGGAAATTGAAGACTATAAACCTCCTTCAAACTAATAAACTTCATACTGGATTAATTTTAACACTAAAGCTATGACTAAAAAAAGAGTACCAACTATATAGAAACAATGGGGAAAAACTTGAAGTAGCAAGATAAGACATTCCAACAACCATCATAGGCAGTAAGAAGGAACTAAGGGGAGTTTTTCATAGTTCTGCCCTTTATTCTATCACAGAGCAACTTGAGGAATAGAGGTGCATGTACCACCCCGATCGACACCAAAGAACAGAAAAATATCTGAGCGGAACTAGGCACATAAGTGGAAGGGACATGTGCAGTCGTGAGGGGCGCACATAGAATGGGCATGTGCAATTACTCAACATAGAAATTCTAATTGAATTTAGAAACAGTATATGGAAATAATACTATTTAGCAAAAAACAATGACAAAAATATGCAGAGACTGGCATGAGTTAAACGACCCAGGATTAATATTCAGTTTAACACAGCAGGTGAAAGAGACACAAATGTTAGGTGAGGCAGCTATGAAAATACAGCTTCTAGAAATCTAAAAGGTTCTGCCTAGATGCCCTCATTAAAATGGTTTGTATCTGCTAAAACCCACAAATTAAAATTGATTTACCACAAATTCTTAAATACGCATAATTCTATATTAGGCAACTGGACCCCAAACACATTGTATGGCCATTTTAAAGCCCAGTTTTGGATTGTGTAAAAATACAGTTTATAAAACTTAAAAGTCAATAGAAATATTGTTGTACATTTCAAGAAAAAAATCCAAAAAAAGTTTTTAAAAGTTAAGTATTTCTTCTGCAGTATTTACAAGCCAAATGCTTCCATATTTTCTTAGCACATGAGAACCAGAGAACAAAACTGGCTAGAGGCAAAAATAAAAATAATTTAATTAATTTTAAAATTCCAAGCTATGAAAAATGCATAAACGTAAAAGGGCTTGGCTATTTTGAGACTTAATTTGGATTAAATTAGGGAATGAATTTAAAACACAACAACTATGCCTGAATGATGCTACATATGAATATTCTTATTCCAGAACAGCTATGCCTGAATAATTATTCTGGAAAAAATCCCTTGCATAGACAAGCCCATAACATCTAACTATTGAAAAGTGAATTTTCTTAGGCCCAAATCTTACAAACATGCTTTACTTTACGCACGAGTAGTCCCATTAGATTTACAAGATTACTCATGCAAGTTAACTTGCACACGAGGCAAAATGTTTGGAGGACTGGGGCCCTCCTTTGTAAAACTATATGAATTTTTAATCTGAAAATGTCACTTTAAATGAAAATGCAAACTAATATCTACAAGGGGAATGCTAGCATTTCATTCATCACTTACATTTCTTGGTTACTATTCCAATTGGCTGTTATTTTTGCAGATAACTCACACGTTCACTCACACACAAACACTGTATCACTTCTCCCCCCTCCCTCCCCAAAAGTCAGCCAGCTGTTACAAGATTCAGACATTTGTTAACACAATTTACTGTCTGATACAGCTAAGCAAAACAGAGACAATAATAATCAGAACTGAAGTGTCTGAGACAGTTTATGAGTAAAGGATTATATTAGCTGTTTATAGAAAGGACAAACAAGCTCCTGCCTCAAGTAATATGAAACAAAGGGAAGTGATGTATACAAGCAGTGAAGAAAGCGACTCTCTCAATGTCTTTTGTAGATTACTTTGTGAGTGACAGAAGCATCAGGAGCAAATACCTCTTTTCATTTGCTCAGCCTGTTTGAGAAGAATAGCTATGCTTGCCAAGGAAGCTGCAGCTGTGCTCCAGCTCAGTTTAATCACTGTGTATGGCTGAGGGTTAATTAGCTGCCATTCTTACTGGTATTTGTTGTTCTAATAAAGATTTGCATAAATGTAAGACTCCTGGGTAACTGATACTTTTTTTTTCCCTTCAAAGGAGTTTCACTGTTGCCTTTCCATTTGACCTGATCTGTTTCTGCCTGTTTGATGAATGGTGAACAAAGAGTTCAAGGTTGCTTATCAATTTGAGCCCCCTGCTGGGTGTCTGCCTCTTAAATGAGACAGTATATGTTAGAAGAAGGGAGGACAAAATGGACTGAAAATTGCTCCAAGCTAATAGACAATATATATCTCACACACACACACACACACTTACTTTCTCTCCCAAATGTGACAGGGCTATTCTCAAAATCATGTCCCTACCCACAGAAAAAAGGAGTCAATTTACAACATCTATTTCAAATTAGATTGCAGAGAATGTCTAATCTAACAGTTTGTTAATCATAAAATATCATTAAGAATGATACTTAGAATGAAATAAGCAAGAGAACTGTTTGGCTACATCTACACTGCACTGTAGTTTGAAATAAGATACGCAATTTGAGCTTATAAGTCACTATTCCGAAACATCCCTTACTCCTCAGGAATGAGGCTTACAGGGATGTCAGAGTAGTGAACCCAAAATAACTGGCTTGCTGTGAAGACGCGGGATAGCTATTTTGGGATACTTCTGTATCCCAAAACAGCGTTGCAGTATAGATGTAGCCTTTTAGTGCATCCAGAAATAGAAATAAGTGTGCCATCACATCAGGCTGTACAATGAAAAATAAGAGTCTACAGAGTTTATAGAAGTCTTAGTTTCAAAAACATACCATTAAAACACAGAGTTCACATGTACATTAAGTACCAAGACTAGGAATAAAAAAACAATCCAAAAAAATGGAAACAAAAAGTTCAATATTACACATTTAGGAGATGTGAGCTCACAATGCAAAACATAGGAATACTATACATTCTTCAAAGTCAAGGTATGAAATCCACAAGACATAGTAAGCAAATCCCCAAAGATTGTTTAAAGGGATCCCCCTAATTAAAAAAAAATCAAACTTCAGTAGAAAATATTTGAGCAACTACAGTTAGAATAGCACCTATGATTACTATAATTGAAAGACATTTCAGGAAAGAAACACAGTTTTGAGTCTACTATGTGCACGTGACAGCATCTTTGTATAGTCACTCTTACTGTTCCTCCTGTATACTCATCCAATTTCTGATGTTATTTTTGAGGGTATTTCACACAAACATAGGGAAGGGATAAACATTAGTAAAAGAACAATTAAATTGTAAAACTATAAAAAATGGCAGAGGAGTTACGGGGCAGGTGAAGTACCAGAAATTACATTTCATTCACTATTTGAAACTGACTATATTTCAAGTTGATAGTGTCCATTTTTTTAGTACATTTCTAGCTCTTATGGTTTGGAAAAAACAAAACTTAAAAATATGAATCTTAAAGTCTTTAAACCAGGAGGCAAATAAAAAGACTCTAGAACGTATCATGTTAAAAGCCTCCTGGCGTGTAAGCCAATTTCATGATTTTTGGAAGCCTGACTCATTATTTTGGAATGTTTGGGATTTCAGTTGGACAGTCAGAATCATTTCTTAGTCCCTGGGAGCAGGACAAAGGGTGGAGCCACAGGCGTAGCAGTCAGTAGGAAGCAGTAGGGTGGGAAGAATGTTTAACCATTATACCAGTTAAGAAGAGTGATTGCCTACTCTCCAAATTAATGCCTATTATTCTGTAAACTCTTTTGTTAGACTTCTATCAGAATTGGTGCCATGATACTCTTTTCAGAAAGCAATATTGTCAGTATGTCTAAATGAATCTTTCCATTTCAATGTTCAGTAATACTATCTGGCTGTAATATCCCACATTTCTCAAATAACATTTTCTGTTAACAATATATTACAAATTAAACCCGTTAGTATGATATAGCATATTTTTATTCTCAAAACACTAAAAAAGCACCTGTCCTGACAATATGTTTTCTCTTTAAGTTAAAGTTATATCATGTACCATTTTTTTATTTAGCATTATAACAATCACATGCACTAAATTTTAAATCTACTTTTTATGTCTTTTATTTTACACAGCAGTATAACAGTGCACCAAGCAGATGCTAATAGGTGACAGAGAGCTAGATGTGAATGAATGCAAAAGTAAAACCAATGTTATTTTCTTACCAGGGTTGCAGTCTGTAAGAAGTGAGCAGATGGACAGAAGAACTTTAGAAATGGTTAATGCTGGACTCCAGTTGTCCTTTAAAATGTCAAGGCAGATCACTCCTTGGCTGTTAATATTACAGTGATAGATTCTTGTCCGAAATGTAACCTAGAAAAACAGTGCCAACAATTCCAGTATTATTATAAAGTACAGGCTGGACCTGATTGGGATTCTGCTGGAACAAGGGAGGTTCCCCGCCACTGACCCTACAGCTTGCCGCTGATCAACACTCCGACCTCAACCCCACTTCAGGCTGCTGAGGGGCTCCAGTCCCTTGCTACTCCAGGCTCCAGGCCCTACACTTCCCTGGGCTGTTGCAGGCTTCGTCCCTGACTCGCTGCTGCAGGCTGCCCCAGCCTCTAGCTGCTGCCATGCTGCTGCGGGCTGCTAGGGATTCTGGCCTTGGACCCACTGCCAAGGGTTGCTGGGGCTCTCTGGTTCAGGAACATCCATGGTCCTGCCAGACTATAGAGTGCTGGTAGATACAAAATCTTATCCGTTAAAGAACATTCACTATACAAAATCTTATCCGTTAAAGAACATTCTGCTTTCCTGAGGCCAGTGAAACTTTACAGAACGATAATACTTTCCTATATTCAATGAAAAGTTTTGTAAGTTTTAACATATTTACTGTAGTACAAATTCTGTACCTCTATTTCTGTCTGGTAACAGAAGTGGTTTGGTGTCACTGTGCAAGATTAAGGCATGGTCCTAGAGATACACTTTATGGAGTCTGCTGACCTCCCTTATCTCAATACAGGGCACTTTCTAACCACTGATCTGGTATCATCTCCAGGAAGTGCCTCTCCAGCCAGTTCCACCTTTGAGAGGAGGAGGAGAAATGATTTCTCCCATATATCATACCATCTCTCTAGCATTTGGCCCAGCTGATTAGGCTGGGTGTTGGACAGCTCAATGACTGGTAGAAAAACCTAACATGAAAGGTCCTGGGGTTAGGTAGGCAAATTCTTTAGGAGAGGCTGACATAATAACCTTATTTGCATTTCCAAATTTAAAAGTACAAATGAACCAATGGAATTGCTTCTACATATTGTTTCCTTTGTTATTTATAATGTTTTGATGTTTGTACCTATTCTAGTTCACACCAAATGAACCTATACTAAACACACCAGAAGAGTAGCCTGCCTTTCCTTCTTTGGTACTGGAGTAATGTGTGTACCTGTTCTAGAGTGTGTCCTGAAAATACAAGCCTTTTATTTTCAAATAATTTCAGCTATAAAAGAAAGGTATGTAGTTATTGAATAGAAAGGGACTGTAAAAATGACATCTTGGCATTCCTTATTTATTTCCCATCAGCAAGTTGTTCCCCCATTAGATTTACTCAGATGACAAGTCAAAACAAGATTTTTATAACCTGTTCAATGTGACAGCTAAAAATCAAGAGGTATCATTTCTGTGGAATCTCACCAGCACAATAACTTTCTGGAATCTAAATTAAGTTAAGAAATGGATTGATTATTCATGAGACAGTACTGACAGCAGTAAAAATTTGTTGACAGTGCTGAATCTACTCTTATTTTAGGCAATGACAACATTTCTGTTGACTTCATTGGGCTCTAAATGAGGACATTTATCAGTAAATTAAGCTGATACTTAGACTGATACAAGTATGTCTAATAACATACTGCTATTTTAATCACACAAATATTCTTTCATCGGTTGAACACTTCCTTCAGTCCTTTACTTCACAGTCTTTCAAATGGCCTTAAGAGAAAAGAGTGACAAGGCATAACGTTCTCTTGGTAAAGCATTGAAGGCCATGAAAATACTTCTCTCTCATAACTACTTTTTCATAGAGATCTAGTATCTGGATCAGTGATTGCATTAATTAGTGAGTTATGTAAGAAATAAACTATATCAGGTTTAACTCTGCTTTTAAATACATTTATGCCTAAGGTTATTATGAACTCATAAGCTGATTGAGCAGTTTTCTAGTCTAACTCCACATATCTATGCTTTTCTGAAGTTGTGCTTTCAATGAATCTTTTTCAGGTTGACTTATATAAGAGCTTTCTTCTGATACCTTTATAACCATTTAAAAATATTTCTGCATCTTCAGCCCAGTAAATTACTCCAGTCAGAAAATCTATCTGGGAGGAAGGCACAGAGTCATTATGCTGGTTACAGGTCAGTTGAAAAACTCTCTCCCACGAGGATATTCACTGAAGGCTGGTTCTGTCCCCTTTATATCACAGAGTGGCATAAATAAGCCATAATTCAGGAGACAGTTGGAAATACTGTTTTCCTCCTCCCAATGATTCTGTGCTAACTCTATAGGGCTGCATCTACACTGCAGTGCTATTTCAGGATACTGGAAGTATCTCAAAATAGCTATTCCGCATCTTTTAAGCGTGCCCATTATTTCAAAATATATCATGCTTGCTAGTCTGATGTCCCTTTAAACCTGGTTTCACAAGGATTAAGGTACTTTTCAGAATAGTGCTCTGTTTTGAAATTTGGCACTTAATTTCGAAATAAGCTGTTTTAAAATTAACGTGAAATAAGCTACGCAATTTGTATAGCTCAAATTGCGTAGCTTATTTTGAGTAAGGTTGCTCCCATTGCAGTGAACTCGGGAAACTAACTGCAATTGAAAATTCCCAGAAAGTACAAATGAGACAGGAGCCTCTCACTCCCTCAGACACCGACTTCCACATATCTGATGCATTTGTCACAGACACAATCTGATGTTTTGCAGGGCTATCTCCATCTATTATGAAGAGAAAAGAAGCCAGTTGGCAATGACATTACTCCAGAGGTACAGTATTACATTTTCTACAATATGGGCAGATTTTTACACTTGATACCATCTAAAAATATCATGTAAAGGATGCAGTCGAATGTTTCCATGTATTCCTTAACAAAAAAGCCTGCATCCATCCACTCCTACAGTTTAAACCTTCCAAATCTGGGATTCTCTTGTCCGGCAACATCCGTGGTCCAGCAAAGCCAAAGAACCCCAGGTGCGGGAGCCAGCTGAGAGGACACGGGGTCTGTGGAGTCCCGGCTGCACAAGCAGCAGCTGGGCAGGGGAACCCTGGGGCCAGGCAGTATCAAAAAGCCTCTGCCCCATCCAGGGAAACCCTCCCCCCCACGTTAGTGTGGTCACGAGGCCAGAGAGCCCTTGGCAGCAGGACTGGCGGCAGCTTGGCGGCCCTAGACAGGGAATCCCGGGAACCCTTCCTACTCCCCTGTGGCAGCCCTTACTGAAAAACCCCCGGCGGCAGCAAGGCCAGGCAGTAGCTGGGGAGTCCTGGCCCCAGCAGGGGAATCCCCGGTGGCCGCCCCAGCCAGGAAGTGCCAGGAAAACCCCAGCAGCAGCGGGGCTGGGCTACAACAGAGGTGGGGCCAGAGCTGGCTGGGTGGCCCAGAGCCAGGGAACCCAGAGGAACTCCTGGAGTTAGCGGGGCTGTCGGCAGTTGGGTGGTCCTGGCTGGGGAGCTCCTGGCAACTCCTGGCGGCAGCAGGGGAAGCAGGATGGGGAGAAGCAGCCCTGATAGCCCCCAGGAGAGGAGACAGCAGCGGGGCAGCCAGCAGGGAAGCACTGACCTCCCCTGGTCCAGCAAACTCCCTGGTTTGGTATGGCTCAGGTCCTGACCTGTATTAACATTCTGAGGTTTGTGGGTATATGCAAGATGAGTAGTTCCCATGTCCCCAATTCTTCAGTGATTATTCTGTTTAGGAGCACAACCATTGGTGCAAGGAGTTGAGGGACCTGAGAAAGGTCAAAATGAACTCTGCATTTTGTGAGTCTAATTCTGGAATGTAGGCAGGAACAGCAGTTCTGGTTTTAACAAGGAATCCTGTGGCACCTTAAAGACTAACAGATGTCCTGGGCATGAGCTTTTCTGGGCAAAACCCCACTTCCTTGCATGCAACATGGATTTTGCCCACAAAAGCTTATGCCAAAATAAATGTGATAGTATTTAAGATGCTATAGGACTCCTTGTTGTTTCTGCAGATACAGGTTTACACAGCGGCCCCTCTGATACACTTCTGTCCGTCATAAAAGATAGAACCATAAAACAAGACCAGGACAAAGCTCTTTAGTCAGAAGAACTACTGCAGAACAGTCTAAATTTAAAATCCCTATGTTGCTGCAAGAAGCAATAACCTTTATGTTATTAGTATCCTTAAATTCCTTATAGAGGGCAACACAATTTAGTGTGAATTACGCCTAGGACTAAGGCTGCATTTCTAAGACAGGGTGATCCATCTCTGTTTTCTAGCTACAAAATTGTAGCATACATAATAAGAAGTAATTAGGAAGAACAACAGCTGAGATACTTATGGATTACCATGTACAATGCACACTAAATGACAGACCATATGATGCTCACTGTTAAAGCAGATTGTATCAATGTGCATCAACAAAAGGACTTATTTCATTTTTTGAAAAATTCCAAATAATCCAAATGTAATATGTAATGAATATCTATAGATTTCTTACTATAAATTTTAGAAATGTGCATCTATCTGTCTCTGAGTCTATTTGTTCAAGAACTCCTCCTAAACGGTAAGAGCTAGGACCACCAAATTTGGTGTGCAGCTTCCTCTTCTCCTAACTTAATGCAATGTCATGGTTTGGTTGTGCCAGGATAATAAGATGTGTGTGGAACTAGACTGTTTCTTATAAAATGGAAAGGAAGGGGTCTAGTAGGAAGGAGTTATGATGCAGAATAACCACAGGGGGCAGGAAGGTGCCAGAGATGGGGGCTGGGACAGCCATAACCCCATTGGGCTGCAGGGGTAGAGAAAGGGACAACTATCTATTATATATTTCAGAGAGTTTGTCTGTTTGTCCTCCAGCTGGGGAACTTGAGCTACTCCCCTGACTGTATCAACCAGAGCTGCAGCAACAATGGAGAGGTGCTTCTCACCTGACCTCAACTTGCTGTCATGAGAAAGGGCTGGGATTGTCCTCTCTACTTGAAGAAGCCTGCATACTGAACCCCTCGTCTCAGCCCCACACCAGAGCAATGATTTAAATGAATAAAAACAAAACTTATTTGAGTTAAGGACCTAAGCAACACTGGGTAAATCTTCAATACTGCATAAAGAGAACACAAGCCATCTGCATTAGAATA